TGGGGTAATGGGATTTTATGGAAGATACGTATCAGATACTGCATATCTGATACCAGTCTTCCTTTTCTTGCTCTCCATTTTCCAGAAATTTGCATACAGTTGGCATTATTCTTCCTCTATCAACTGGAAGAATGTTTATTGCTTGGTTTTGAGAGGTTTGCTGGTAATGTTAAAAGAGTTGGTTGTATCCTCTTCCTCCACATTAGAACACCTTGTACCTGTGTTTCCTCAGTTTCTGAGGCATTGGCTTTGCACAAATGGCTGTATCTTGACTATAGTTTTTATAACATCAGCTGACTTTAATGATGCCCTTTTTCATGCTGGATGCTGTTCTATCTAAATAGACCTATCTTAAATCCTGAAAATGGTCACCTGAGATAGGTAAATATCCCAGCTTTATTGATGAGGAAAGAAATAATAGTTACCTGCACAAAGTTCTATAGTCCAAGCTGTAAACAAGTTAACACACCAATAGGAAAGGTTTCAAAAAAGTACCAGGAGGAAATAAGAAACCACCTCATGTGCATTAGTGTACTGATTTTTGGAATAGTATTTTTAAGATAGAAAAGAGTGTTTCTTGCTGGCTTTAGTCTTGACCCTGAAACTGTGCTAGAGCACAGATCAAGTGATAAAGGTTCAGCTAGCTGGTTGCCCTTTCCTTTTTCAGTGCAAAAACATTTGGATGTCTTATGCAATTTAACTTAAGGTGCTACAAGCACTGGCAAATTTTATCATATTGGCTGCCAAATCAAAGACTCTTCCTTTAACTGCTGATGCAACAAAAATAACTTAATGGATTTTGAGTAGAGAAAAATGGGATAAACCTCTAAGCTTTAAAAAAAAAATTACATTTATTTATTTTTGGGGAGGGCGGGGCACTCATGCCACAGTGCTCCTTTGGAAGTGAGAACAGCTTGCAGGAGCTTGCTCTTCTCTCCCTCCCTGTGGGCTTTGAGATTCCTGTTGTATGACTTGGTGGCAAGCACCTTTACCTTCTGAGTTGTCTCACCAACTCAAACCTCTAAGCTATTATGAGAGAAATTTCACCAAAATGGAGATCAAGAGTCCAAAATGTTACCCCCTTGAGTGGCTGAAATGAGCGGAACAAATAACTAATGCATTTTGGGCAGCTTTGTTGTGATTCAGGCTGATAATGGCAAACTATTCTAATTATTATGTGTCTAAGATACAATTTGTTTTGTTCCCCTGAGGTTGTTGCAGAGCCATAATATGTGTTTGTTCATTTGCTTTAGAAAGGACAATGCTAGGGATAAGGAAATTATTTTGAATAAGCCACATCTAATTATGCACACAGATTTTCATTATATCATTGTTAGTTTAAAAAAAACTATAAATAGCCTAAATATACAACTGTTGGATATTGGTTAAGTATGTTTAATCACTGTGTACATAGGGTTAGAATTGTTTGTGGAACATTTGCCCCTACCTATGAAAATAAGGTAAGGTGTGCACATGCTTGGGTTCTTTCCTGGAAGCACCGTCTGAGCTATTATGAGGGGAGGACAAAGCCAAACTGTCTGAGCAGACTCCCTGATTTGAACTAGAGTTTGAAAGGGCACAGTAGAGGACATTCCAAAAATCTGCAAATGGATCCCTTGGGCTGAATACTAACTGGCACATGTGTGAAAGGAAACTGACAGTCTAGGGAAAGGCACACTAGAAAACACTGGGTAGACATTTTCCTGAAGCTGACATAGTCCTGAGAATAGTTTGTTTCTCAGCAGTGATGTTAATAAGTGAGTCTCAAGAGGATCAGATAACTTTATTAACTTGTGCCAAAACAGAGCCCAACCTAAGGAAAGTAGTGTAATAAGATCTGGCGAACAGGAATGTAAAGTTTACAATGTGTGGTTTGCAGTAGAGGTCTTTTAAGAAAGCAAGGAAAAAAAAAAAATAGAAAATAGCCAGGAGAATAGAAGAATAATAAAAGTGGATGCAGAAATGATAGTGTTTTTAATTAGTGTTTTAATTACAGTGAAGAGATGCTGTGACCACAGCAACTCCCATAAAGGAAAACATTTAATTGTGTGGGGGGGATTGGCTTCAGAGGTTTAGTCCATAATCATTTGTCAGGAAACATGGCAGCATGCAGGTAGACATAGTGCTGGAGAAGTAGCTGAAAGTTCTATATTGGGATCCAAAAGCAGCAAGAAGAGTCACGCTGGGGCCTGGCGTGAGCATCAGAAACCTCAAAGCCTACACATAGTGACATACTTCCTTCAACAGGGTCACATCTACTTCAACAAGACCACACTTTCTAATAGTGCCAGTCCCTATTGGGGCCATTTTCATTTTGACCACCACATATAGAGATGCTGAAATACCAAAGATGTTAGCATACCTACTGTAAAAAAAAAATACATATATATATATGCGCATGATATAGTATACATATATTGATATATATACACATATATAAAATATACATGTACATATATTTGGAGAAAGGGTTTCTCTGTGTAGCCTTGGGTGTCTGGAACTTGCTCTGTAGACCAGGCTGGGCTTGAACTCCGAGATGTGCCTGTCTTTGTTTCCTAAGTGCTGGGATTAAAGGCTTGTATCATCCCTGCCCAGCTTGTAAATATATTATTATGTTATTGCATGTTGTCATATGTTATATATAAATACATTTTCAGAGTAGAAGAAAATGAGCATAATATAGAGTGACATGAAAACCACATAAAGACTACATAAAGGGTGGTAAAGCATAGATCTGCAGTGAAAAATATACTGTATAGGATCAACAGCATATATTAGACATGGTGCAATGAAAGACCAGTGGACTGAAAGATGTGGCAAATGAAGTCAGTCACAATGAAGCAGGGAGCATAAAAGAGTGAGAGAAGACTGGGGAAGAAAAAAAAAATCACAGATATAGCTAAATCTCAACATTTGCTGAAAACTGCAAATCAGACTTTCCACCTTTAACCTGGTATTTGGGGCCAGAAAATGTATCATTGTAAGTCTGTTCTGTTCATCATAGGTCACTTAGTAGCAGTTCTGGTCTCTGTTAGGTGTCAGTGGCATTACTGAAAATTACCTCTGCAAGCCCACAGCTCTAGAAGCACAATGAGCCCCAGACAGAAGAAAGTAATAAAATTGTACCAAATAGACATCAATATCAAAATTTTGAAAATGAGAGAAAAAAAAAATCTCAGAAGCACCAGGAATGAAAACATGGTACAGAGAAGCAAAGGTGGGCACAATGGCCACCAGCTTCTTCCAGAAGGGAAGGATGCTGCATGGCCGGGACAGTTGATATAACTTTGAAAATTGAAAGTGAATGTTGTTGAAATTTTCATGCTCTTTGTTTGTGTGATCTAATTCCTGTCCTTTGTCTTTGAGACCTGATATTTTATCTTCTGTTAAATTTGTTCTACTTGAAAGGCCTTTTCCTGAGTTTTCTATTTGGATTATTGATGGAATTTTTCATGAAATTATTGGAGTTATTTGATGGAATTATTGATGGAAGTTTTCCAATTACATCTACATTTCAGCCTGAGTTCTCTTCAGTGTTTCTATCTCTTACTGAGTTTTATTTTTAATCCTAGTGTCTTTCATTTCCTACATTTGTCTTCAGGGCATTACTGAGGTATTTTTTTCCGTCTGTGTTCATTGAGCTATTTCTTTGTGTCTTCGCTAAACTCCTTAAGTGCTTTGATGAAGTTCATGTTCATTCTTTCAAGATCTCTACCTTAGGATTAAACACTGATTCACATCAGAGAACTTAGGACTGGTGAATTTGGTTTTTGATTGCCATACTGTTTGTGGTTTTGCAATGAGACCTGAGTTTGCAAGGTTTTTGTTGTTGGTTTTGTGTCTGGTATGAACACAACAGTCTAGGTTTCACATGGTGTCTTGTTCTAAGCCTGGATGTTGGGTAGATGCAGGCAGGCCTCCTAAGATGGCTGGGGAACTGGGCATGGGACCTGGGTTCCATCTGAGAATTGGGGCTAAGTGAGTGTTGGAAGCTTGGGGCTAAGGGGGATGACTCACCTGGTTGGGTTGTGCCTGTTATGGTGTTCTATGGAATAGGTTTTGCAGACTGAAAGTGAATGTTTATAATATGATAGTGGATTTTATAAAAAACATAGTCACTGCGTCTCTGTCATAAAGATGAAAAGTTTCCCTTTTGATCAGCAAGAAGGCAGGCTGCTTGTGTCACCACTGAACTGTAAATCCTACAGGAAAGAGTAAGTCACACCCAAATTGGAAAGGCAGAAGTAAAATTATCTGCATTCAGTGGTGACTTGATCTTATATTTGAAAATATCAAAGGTGAACCACTTTAATCCATTCCTGCACTGGACAACTTGCTGAACTTCAGCCATTCTAATCAGCGTGGCTCCAATTTCCTTGATTATTAGTCATCCTTTCGTTCATTTATTTGCCATTTGTATATTTTCCTCGGCACAGTGTTTTAGTTACCTTTCTCATTCTGCGGCAAAAATACCTGACAGAACAACCTGAGAGGAGAGAGTTATTTGGGCTCTCTGGTTTGGGAAGGTGAGGGCAGGCACAAGAGCAGCTGGGGCGTTGTAGGGCGGGGTCAAGGAGAGAGATACTGTCAGATGTGAGCCACCATGCGGATGCTGGGAACTAAACCTGTGTCCTCCGGAGATGTCTCTCCAACTCCTACTTTGCATTTTAACATCATGTATTTCCAATTTTATCCTAACAATGGGGCTGAAATTCAAAACATAAGAGGATTAACTAAGTAAGTTCTTATTTAGCACTTTTTCTTGTTTAAAAGAAAGTATTCTCAGACCGATATGGCATCTGTAATCCCAGTACTCAGGAGGCTGAGGCAGGAGGATTGCCATGAGTTTATGTTTATTAATCACCTCGAAATATTATTAGCATTGAAGAATTTGTTGAGAGTAAAATTTTAGTGTTCTTAGCAAAGTGATATTTTTATCATTTTTAAATACATATTGCTTTAGTCCGTGTCTTTTTCCATCTTCTCTTTTTCTTCCATAGGTATCAGAGAAGAAAGGAAAAGAAGCCAGTAGTGGTTTTGGTGGACCAGTCGTTAGTTCTCTCTATCATGAAGAAACAATCAGGTAATTTCTCTTCTGTCCTTTGACAATAGAAATATAAATGCATGCATATGTGTTTTATGTGCATATAAGTGTCTCTCCCTCCTCTTGCCTTTGTTCATTTGTTTATTTATTTTTTATTTTTTATTTTTTATTTTTTATTTTTTTTGAGAGACAGGGTCTCTCTATGTACCCTCGCTGTCCTGGAACTCACTATGCAGACGGCACTGGTCTCAAAGTTAGTTACAGAGATCCACATACCTGCCTCTGTTGGGATTAAAGGCATGGGCCATCACACTTGGCTCAGTCATCCTTTTACTTGGATTCTGGGAATCTAAATTGAATTTGGCAACCCTGCACAGCAAGTGTTTTTACTATTTGTAAACACAATTCATATTTTTAATGAATATATTATTTAACAGAGCTATTAGTTCTTATATTGTATAAAAATGTCTTAGCCATTTTCTTTTATCACTGATTGTAAATCAGGAAACAAATCCTGTGCTATTATAAGGAGTTATGACAATTCTAAGATTGTTACTTTGCAAATATAAAGGGGGGGTTGTTTGATGCTTTTGATCTTTTTTAACTACCCATACATTGCTTTACTTCTTCTTTAACATCAAATATTTCAAATGGAAACTTGGCTTCCCCACAATTTGCTGAAGTGAGATATCTTTCTTCCTAAAATAAAGAGATGATTGTATATTAAAAAAAATGTGTGCTTTATATTTCCCAGAAAGAGTTTTTTGACATTGTCCCATATAATCAACAGTACAGCCAGGTAGCACTGTAAGATGGAAGTTACTGATGCTTGAGTTACAACTTGACATGCTCACGGTTTGCAGCTGTCGACCAGGCTGTCAGTGAACACTAGGGATCTGTCTTGAATCCATTTGCATGGCAAGCACAGTATTTTACTTACTGTCTCAGTTAAGGTTTCTATTGCTGGGAAGAGACACCAAGACCATGGCAACTCTTATGAAGGAAAACATGTAATTGGGGCTGGCTTACAGTTTTAGTTTAGTCCTTGAGAAGCATAGCAGCATGCAAGGACAGATATGGTACTAGAAAATGAGCTGAAAGTTCTACATCTTGATCCATAGGCAACAGGAAGTGAACTGTCATGCTTGAGCAGATATTAGACCTCTAAGCCTGCCTCCACAGTGACACACTTCCTCTAACAAGTCCACACTCACTCCAACAAGACCACACCTCCTAATAGTGCCACTCCCTATGGGCCAAACATTCAAATACTTGAGCCTATGGGGGCCTCAACCATTCACACCACCACATTTGTATTAAATTTTTATTTGAGATGAGGTAGTGGGAGGCTCATGAAGAATGGAGATGCCCTTTAGAGCTGTCACTGGCCTGGAAGTGTATTTGTTTGCCTAATTCCTGTGATGGGGCCTGAGCACTCCTAGGATCTCATGACAGTTTTGAAAATATATTCATATTTTAGCTCTTCCCCTAAGTCTTACATATTTAGAAAGTGTGTGGGAGTTTTTAATTTGTATTATTTTTTGAATTGTTTTGTTTTTTGAGACAGGTTATAAATGTTCTCATCAAGCCTGGGCATCTTAGAGGCATTTTTCTAGATAATACAGTAGTGACTAATTAATTTCTTCTTTGTTTAGTGTTTACACTTTTTTATAGCATTTTTTCACATTATATGCACACTGAATTACAAGCTTTTAACAACTCCTCTCTCCCCACTTAGCTTTAATTTTTGAAGACAAGGACCACATTTTATTCATTTACTTATTCATATTATCTGAAGAGAGTCTCAGAACGTAGGAGGAGGACTAGTTAAGATTAACTGTCAACTTGGCACAGCCCAGAATCATCTCAATAGTGTCAATTGAGTAATGTCGGGCTGGGCTGTAGACCAGGCTGGCCTAGAACTCAGTGATCTGCCTTTGCCTCCCGAGTGCTGAGATTAAAAGTGTGCACCACCATGCCTGCCTATTAAGTAGAGATTTTTAATTCAGCTCATCACATTTATACAACTACTATGAGACAAAACGTAGATATTCCCTTTCAGCTTCTTCACTTTTGAGTATAGTGTTCTTAGTACTTTGGTGCTGTTTGCTTGCTTTTTGAGACAGGGTCTCTCTATTATGTAGCTCCTGCTGTCCTAACTATGTAGACCAGATGGGCCTCAAACTCCCAGAGATCCACCTGCCTCTGCCTCCCAAGTGCTGGGATTAAAGGTGTGCACCTCCATGCCCTGCTATTCTTAGTACTTTTATTTCTTGTTGTTTTATTAGGTTTTTGTTTGTTTGTTTGTTTGTTTTTAAAGACAGGGTCTCATTTGATCCAGGTCAGCCTTGAACCCGCAATGTAGCTGAGGATGACCTTGAACTCCTGACTTTCTTGCTTCCATCTCCTGAGAGCTAGGATCACAAGTGTGTGCCACACTTGCTTTTTCTTAGTACTTTAGGCATTTTCATCTACATATAATAAATATTATTGAGCAAAATATGAACTCTTGGTAGAGGTAAACCTGATTAGCTTGACTTTAGTTCACCAAATCATCTATCTGAATATTAATCAGGTGGGGCATGTGTGTGTCATAGCATACATACGGAGAGAAACATGGATGCTAAGAGTCATTGAAAGCCCATACGCTATTATAATACAAGCATAGTATTCTCTTACTCCTACAGTGGATGTGGATACAAATAATTAGTCATGCTTCCATTAGAAAACTCATTTTACTAGTGTTACAAGTCTGTTACAGTAAATTTAATCATAGTAATTTTTTCCTGTACTGAAATGTTGGATTATTGCGGAGAAGTACCAGGCATATACTTGAAATTTCTTCAGATGTATCAAAATGTATTTCAGCAATGAAAACAGGCTATTTTCTGAAGTTTATGTCATGGGTATTTGGGTGAGATATGGTGCTATTACTTTCATAGCTAATTTGTGCTTTAACTGATGTTAATTACAAATTCTTGGCAGAATTATGTCCAACTGATATGAAAGCAGAAATGCTTAGAATTCTAGAAATACCAAATAATAAACTTGGGTGAAAGGAAAAGAAAAAAAAAAACAAACAAACTTATAATCATTGTTTTCTAGAAAGGACATATAATAATGTATTTTCAGAAAATTTTGTTTTGTTTTTTTTCAAGCCAGGGTTTCTCTGTGTAGCCCTAGCTACATAGCTAGCTGTCTTGGAATTCACTTTGTAGACCATTCTGGTCTTCATCTTACAGAGATCTACCTGCTGCTGCATCCTGAATGCTGGGATTAAAGGCGTGCACCACCACATTAGGCTTTTGCAGATTATTTTTGAGTACTTGGATACTAACCTTTGTCAAGTTTCTGCTTGGGTTTGTTCTAGATGTAAACATGTACATTGAGAAATTAGGGTAAGAATTAAAAGTAGAATAAATGAAGGGGTGTAATGCCCACTACTCCATCCTGCAGTAAGGTTTGGTCTTCTATGTTATATTTTGTAGTTTGGTACCTTATAGTCTGCTAGAATTTTAATTCCACTTACTCGGGCAGCCATCTGGACCTTCTCTAAGCAAAACCAGTCTAGTATTCAGCTGAAATGATTGATGGACTCTGGAATTGATTAGTTGTTCTGTGAGACAAATGAAGTATTTTGGCAGAAAATACCAGAGGTCACTGCTGTGGTCATACTAAAATGCTTGTAGAATTTCAAAGAGATGTTTTCATTGTTGACTTACAAAGTTTCCATTTTTATGCACTAGTAACATTTTGAAAATGTTACTGTTTTGAAAAACAACTTTTCATTGGTTGCTAGTTGCTCTTCAGTACTGACTGTAGAGGGGAAGAATGTAGGAAAAACTAAGATAAAAATGAAAACAAAAAAGCATAAAGCTTTGTTTTCTTGGTCAAAATAAAAACTAGAATGAAAGCATAGAAAGCCTGGCAGTGATACAGAAACAGCTGGTTTTTGTTTTTTTTTTTTTTTTTTTTTTTTAAGCAATATGTGATTGGATAATAGACAGCAACAGGACAGTTTTATTGCTATTGGTAACATCTGATGGTATAAAATTCTACTTAGGATTTCATTCAAAGCCCCACCTTGTTATATAGTGACCTGATTTTAGCAAGTCTGTTTAAGGACTATGTTAAGCATATTTTGTTTTGAAGATGGAGTATTTGGACTGTATTGCTTTCATCAGGCCAAGTCATTATGAGATACCACTGTTCTTAGCACTGAGAGCCTCTGTTTGGCTAGTGGGTGTAATCCTTGCCTATTTCACTGTTGGCTGTGAGCAACACGGTGTTAACACTTTGGTGATCGGTGATAAATTAAATGACATATGTCTTGTTACAGTCTGGTTGTTCTTGAGGATACACAAGTGTGTACAGGCAAATGGGCAGCTCTCTCCTGAGGATCTGACTGCTCAGAATGAACTTGAGCTATGGATTTATTCAGCCTGTAAAACCTCAGCTGGCATAAATAATTGAGAAAGCAAAGGTTTGTCTGTGGTGCATACCTCAGGGACTCATGGCTCCCTTCCTGCTCTCTACCTCCCTTTCTTATGAAAATGATCCCAGTTGCACTCCCAGATAATAACACACCAAGCAATTAAAAGCCATGGGTGGCTGGAGAGAGGAGAAAAGGTTTAGTTAATGAGCTTTTCCTCTTCCAGTGCCCATGAGAGCCTCAGGAATGACAAGGCGATTAAAGCAAAGAGATAATTATAGATTATGTGAAAATGGGTCCCTGGGGACAAGCAGGTCTTGACATAAACAGTGAGTGTGGTAACAGTCTCCTGGCTCTCATATGCACCCTTCTCTAATGCGCTTCATTTAGCTCCTGTGTGCACAGGGCCATGATGCCAACCAAGCATACAGGCAAATCACCTGTTTGCAGATCAACAGCCACCATCCCCCCCCCCCCTTTTACCTCCATTTCTTCTTCCCTTTTCTTTGTCTCCTTCCTTTCCCCCACTTTGTACTCTTTCCTATCCAGTTCTTAAATCTCCTGTCTCTTCTAATCCCTCATTTTTAGGTAGTAAATGCTAACTTGT